ATTAATACCATTCCAACAAGAACAATACTAACTGCATATGCAACACAGAGGCCCCTGTTTTTTTTTCTTTCTGAGAAGCACAATCTCCTTCTCTTTTGCATCTAATTTTTTTCAATAGACCAGGAAGAACAATCTTACTCAGTCGACAAATTAGAGGGTCTTCCCACTGGAAGTAACCACATCCCCACCATTCTGAATTTTTTTTAAAAAATAGAGATTTTAATTATCATCTACGAATGTTCATATATGCTTAATTTTGTTTTTACAAACACAAATTTTGAATTATCTTATAATATCTACATAAGTGGAATCGATGACCTGGGTTATCATTGGTCCAAAAACACCTCAGTTTTGCCTTCACCCCTTAGTGGCATTCGACAGATCCAGTAACATCGGACATATCGGTGGTGGTTTGAGACATCGCCGTATTTTCCCTTGGTATCCCTGCGACGGAAATTGAGGAAGACGACGATGTTGGTCGGCTTCGAGGAATTGAGGTGGAACAAAAAAAAATCGAAAGAAATTTGATTAGATTGAAGACGATGAATGAGATTCAAATTGAATATATAAGATTTGTAATTTAATTCTTCGGGGTTAAATTGCAAATATTCAAGGATCAACCAACCATTTGTATTTTATAAAATTTAAATAATTAAATATTTTTTAAAATTTTGAGCACAAGCCACTTACAATGTGCCACGTGTTACTGGATCCCAGGTGCGCGTGAAAATGCATGTCACGTGACTGTCATGTGCGGCGGGAGGATGTAAATGGCGAGTTTTGTAAAAGTTCGGGATATATTTTGCCAAGGTGATAGATTGAGGACAAAAGTGATAATGAGGTATATGTGTGGGATATTTATTGCAATTTTCCCTATATAACATCATACATAATATAGGTCCACTGATAACCGTTTTATTTCTTTTCCTCTTCTAAAAAAGTAAATATTTTTATTTACATTTGAAACTTACATCTTTTATAAAATTAGTTTATATTAATTATAAATAAATAAATATTTTTTATTTATTTGTATTATAAAAAAAATTATTCTCCACAAAATAATATATATTGTATATATTTTTGTTGCCATATAATTTTTAAAATATCTAAATACATATTCTAATTTTTTTAACCATATATAATACATTTATTTTAGAACTATCAATATTATTAATTATATAAAAATAATAAATAATATCATAAATCATTATTATTAATTAATTACACATCATTATTTTAAATATAGTGTCATAATAAAACAGTTCAATTAATAGTTAACATTAAAGACAATTAATATTTCTATTCTTATCCCAATAATTATTTTAGAACAAAGAAAAATTATAGTACTTTATAATTTTTTTTTTAAAAATAATTTGTTGAATATCAAATTGTTATTAAAGAGCTCATTGCAAAGAAAATGTAGAAGTGAGCATGGAGTGTTACATATTTTTAACGAGGATTTAATATTAAAAATTTATTGTATGATAAATTTAAAAAAACTAAAAAATAAAGGGAAACTTTATTTAAATTTCTCCGATCCTCATTTTGTACTTGCTCTGCACTCTCTATTTTTCATTTTCAATTATACTTGACTCCCTAATACTCAGTTTACTCATGGTAATTATAGAATATAACGAATATTGTATGTACTTTTGTTATTTTTTATATAAATCTATATTATTACTCTAAAATTATTTTGCTGTACCAAGAAAGTGTCAGAGTCATGTGCCTAAAATTTTTATTTATGTACTAAAATCAATTATAGAAATTTAAACTTAAAAACAAAACAAAATCCTTATAGAACCTACCGTAAGAATTTGTTGATGGTTTATTTCTTCCAAACCATTCTCCTCGCACACTGCCCCTCGCTGTTGAAGCCCCCCACCGAAGTAATTATCGTCGAGCCTCCCTGCTGGAACTTTCGCCGCCGTCAAAAGTCTTCATTCACTGCCCAGAGCTCCATTCCTGCTCACGATGTCGAAAAAGACCTCATCTCTGAGGCGGAGTTCGAAAAATAAGTTAAAGTTTATATTTTTTGGAGGATTGAAATTATAAGTTCATTCTGAGCTTGGATCTAATATATTTGTACCTCATTGAGTTTGTAGAAGCCTCGATGGTAGGTCATTTTACTTTGAAATCGTATCGCACAGTCGGATCGAATGTGAGTTATTTTAATGTGTTTGAAATTATTAATAATCTTGTTGTCTATATAAGTACCTTCATTTACATTTTTATAGGTTTACATTCATAGTAACATAATTGAGATGTGAGGCGGGCAGTGCTTTTTGTTTTCTTCGAATACCGTAGGCAATTTGTTTCTTGTCAAGTGATTTTTTAAGTACTAATGTGTTGGACGATGTCTCTGTCATGGGGTTGATTATAGATGTATCTATTTTGTCGATTAGTAAAAATTTTGTTTGTTCTTTATATTGTTTGCGAGTGTCTCACATTGTATTTGGTGTTCCTTAATTGTTAATTTATATGTCTCAATTAGAAGATTACTTTCCTTCATAGTTATGCCATAAATTTGTGTTTGTGTTAGATATACTGATGAAGACATGTCTTTATTTTGAAATGATGACATACCCAATAAATAATACAAATGACTTACCTTCAGATTCTCTATACCTTTTTCTAAACAAACATGACTAAACTTAAAATTGAGATGGACGACAAACAGCTGAAAACTCTACAACTTACGCCATTTGGAAATTTTATAGATTGCCTAAAAAAAAGTACATTGGCATCGATTGTGGGTGATTGTGAATATGTTTGACATCGAGTCTCAGTCATTTAGAATTGGCGATGAAATTGAAATAAGTTTTTCTGATGAAGAATTCTCCATAGTTCTTGGATTACACTACAAAGGCATGTATGTATCTGAGAATGCTATTGTACGATGTGATTTCTCATGTGGAGTGACTTTTTTATGTACTAAGATGTTTGTTGATATCTCTATCACATTGTTGGTTGTTCATGTGTTTATTTTTTCGATTTTTGAAAAATATATTTGTTTTTACGATTGTGCATTAATGCCTCTAAATATTTTTTGTTACAAAAAATAGTATATAATGTGTGCCCTCGTTTTTAATTGATGTTCCTTTACAAGAAACTTACATGCTTACATAGTTATGTCATAAACGTGAATCAGTGTTGTATATACTCTTGTAGACTTATGTCTTTGTTTCAAATATTGTCAAGCCCATGGGGAAAGCCATGATTGTAGGCCATTAGTATGCATGTTTCTTGAGAGTTACATTTTATGTAACATAAAACTTACCCGCCCAGCAGATGGATTAGCGAATTAGACAATGTCAAAATATATCGAGCAAAAATTATCATGAAGATTTATCAGGAGGCCCCAGAGGGGCTTCCGATTATCATTTATCGGATTTATATGTTAATTTTTATGCATGAATTGAGAAAAATTAAGGTAAAGCAGATGGTTATCAAATCGGGATAGTTAGTCATTGATGCTATATTTTGCCAAAAATTTTAAGGAACATTATACTTTTTAATTTAACATATGATATGCGGTTCTCTATAAGTTGAACCTTGGTATTAGAGATACATACACACAAAATTAAGAAAATACTTCGATTCACAAAACTTCATGGTTGGGTGTGGAGAAATCATTAAGTTTAAACAATATACCTCCAATGAAGACACATGTTCTTCATTTAACTAATTTACATAGTTTTTACATGGTTGTATATACTATCGTATTCAGTAATAAGCTTTATAAGTAACTATATATGTATTCGACATGTAGTGAAAAGATGTGTACTCATCATACCATTTTGAAAGCTGATAGCCATAAATTGCATGCGTTAAATTTCATAATATTTGCGATATTTAGTTGATTTTGATTAGATTTTACCTGATTTGGGTATATATTATTTATTTATGATTTGCAGGGGAAAAGTAATAAAACTGATAAAATTAGAGGGAAAAGAGAAAAAAAAGCCCAAAGCCCAATTGTTACAATTAGGGCAAATATAAAGGAAAGAAAGAAAGGGAGGCGCGACTTATGCCACTTGCCGAAGAGAACACCGTGCAAAAGAGTCCCAGGGAGAAACCGTGCAAGGGCAAGAAGAAGAAAGATTCTTCCAAGAACATTTCGAGTTCTATCCCTATCAACATTATTCTCAGGCGATGTTTCTATTTGCTTCCTTTGTTCTTCCTCCTATGATTAGTGAGTAGTTTACTTTTCTAGTCTAGGTATGAAAAACAACTTGGTATGGATTTGGGATATTAGACTTATTTTGATTTATGATATTTCTTTGGTTCCTAAGTATTTCTGTGGTTTCTGATTTCTTTAAGTTATAATCTTTTATTTGGTTGGGTATTGTGGCCAGGTATTTCAATTGGATTAAGGATTAATTGCTAAACTAAATTAGACGTCCGTAATTGCGTTTTAATTTGGTTCAAGTAGCAACTAGTGGCAGACACCATTAGGAAATCATGCAATCAATTTTAAACAATTTTGTATAGGAATCTTGAGTTTTGATCCTGAAATTGAGAAGACTGCGCGTCGATTGATGAAAGAAACTAGGGTGCGTTGCCAAAAAGATTTAGCTTTAGAATCATCTAGCAATTTGAGTTTTGACGAGGTAGAGCTAGAAAAATAGATGGATCAAATGACACTAAGGGAGCTGGCAGCTCCTAACTTAACTCAGCAGCATCTCTGCATAGCATACCCTACGGTAGAAGGTAACAGTACTTTTGAATTAAAATCAGGATTAATACACTTGTTGCCTTCTTTTCATGGGTTGTCAGGGGAAAAGCCACATAAGCATCATCAAGAATTTGATGTCTTCTGCACAAGTATGAAGCCACAAAGAGTAACAGAAGATCAAATCAAGCTTCGTGCTTTTCCCTTCTCACTGAAAGATGCTGCAAAAGATTGGCTATTCAATCTACCTGCCGGAAGCGTCACTACATGGACTGACATAAAGAGAAAGTTTCTCGAAAAGTATTTTCTCGCTTCACGAGCTGCGATCATGAGGAAAGAGATATGCGGAATGACACAACATACAGGGGAGTCTTTATTTTAATATTGGGACCGCTTTAATGCTTTAATTATTCAATGTTCCCATCATCAAATCCCCGTGCAATTACTGATTTAATATTTCTATGAAGGTTTGACTTCCATCGATAGGAGAATCATAGACGCAACAAGTGGAGGGGCCTTGATGAATAAAACTCTTAGAGAGGCATGGGACTTACTGAACAATATGGCGATGAAGTCACAATAGTTCGGACCAAGAGAAGCAGTAGCAGTTAAAGAAGCAAGTGAGGTGAGTTCTATTCAACAACAATTGACTGAACTGACTTCATTTGTTCAACAATTTGTTGTAGGAAAGACACAAGTTAAGGCTTGCGGAATCTGCACAAGTTTGGAACATCCTACGGATATTTGTCCTACCTTGAGTCAAGAAGTAGATGTCAGTGCTGCAGGATTCATCCCAAGAGCATACAACCACTAGTCGAATACCTACAATCCAGGATCGAAAGATCTGCCGAACTTAAAGTATGGGAATCTACAAGCTAACTTTGGAGATCATTCGAGAGGATTCCCAGCACATAACCACCCACCACAATCCGCTCAAACGGTTCCGAGTAATTCCTTAGAGAATATGATGAAAACTATGGCATCTAACATGTTGCAATTTCAAGAGGAAACTCGGAATAGCATAACGAACTTGGAAGAACAAGTAAATCAAATAGCAAATGAAATGTGCGAGATGAAGTCAAGAGAAAAATGCAGATTGCCCTCACAACCCGATGCCAATCCGAGGAATGTGAGCTCGATTGTTATAAAAAATGGAAAAGATTCAGAAGTATCAAAGATTGGAGTTCCAATAGACAAGAAAGAAATAGAGCAAGCCACCACTGAAACATCAAACAAGGTAACTTTCGATACACCTACTAATAATAAAACTAATTTTGCACTGTTTTCTTGCAGGTTGGCGAAACCAAAGAAGGACGAAAATAATAAGGAGATGATGGAGATGTTTTGAAAGGTGGAATTGAACATACCCATACTAGATGCAATCAAGCAAGTGCCGAAGTATGCAAAATTTCTGAAGGATCTTTGTGCGAACAAGAAAAGACTATGTGGAGATGAATGCATTATTGCTGGCGAGAGCGTATATGCCATTTTACAACGTAAGCTTCCTCCTAAATGTGGAGATCCAGGTATGTTCTCGGCTCCTTATAAGATAGCTAAGTTGGAGATTAAACGAACAATGTTAGATTTAAGAGCTGCAATTAATGTGATGCCTAAGCCGATTTATAAGTGTTTGAACATTGGGCCTTTAAAAGAAACTGGAATTATTATGCAATTAGCCGATAGGACAAATGCTTACTTTGAAAGAATGATTGAAGATGTCCTAGTGCAAGTTAATGAATTAATTTTTCCGGTTGATTTTTATGTGCTTGATATGCATGATAATAATTCTCCAAATGCTGCACCGATTTTACTAGGTAGACTATTTATGTGCACCGCACAAACTAAAATTGATGTGAAATAAGGTATACTTTCTATGGAATTTGATGGTCAGAAACTGCAATTTAATATTTCTGATTCCAAAAATAACTTGAAAAATCTAATGCGTTGTGCAGTGTGAATGTTATTGACAAAAGTATGCAGGGAGTCTTGAGATTGCATGAAAAATCTATCCTGAACCTAAATGATAATGTGAATCTTGCAAACAATTTTTTTGTGAGTAATCATTGTCTTAAACATGGAAGTAAAAGACAAAAATAGAAGTGGGTAAGATGGTCTGAAGTAGTACTACCTAATGGCTAACATGGTAACTGCGTCTAGCCAAAGACGTTAAAGAATGGCGCTTCTTGGGAGGCAACCCAAGTTTTCTACCTTTATTTCTTTTATTTTCTTTTATTTTCTTTAGTTTTTGTTTTATTTTTAAATTTTTAAACATTGCCTATTTGAGTTGGAGTCTTTATTTTTTTTAGGAAACTTATTGGAGAATTTTGAAAAAAAAAAAAACCTCCGCGTTTCTTCTTCTTCCTCCCTGAGCCATCAATTTTGGTATTGGCTAAAAGAGACACACAATCAACTTGAGGAAGATTGTAATCCAAAGCAAAAATATGCACTCACACCAATCCTATGGACTCCAGGGAAGTTCCTATCTTATTTTACTTTTTTCTACATTGAGGACAATGTTTGATTTGTTGTCATTTCACATGTTTTTGAGATTTGTCTGAAGTGAGTCAAAGGTGGTTTGAGTGATAGGTTAGTCTGACATGATTGATGACATTGGATTTGAAATATGTTGAGCCAAGTTGACATTTGAACCTTGTGAAAATTCAAGTATATATTTTGAAAAGCTTATATTAGAAAATAAACTACATATTCTCAAGATTTTGGAAATTCTTTCTTGTGTGATTTGTAGTGCTCAATTAGAAGACCTAGAACTTGAGTGATTATGCATGTTGAACTTGCAACTATTGAGTCTTGCATTTTGAAAATGATAAGGGAATTAGGTAGCGCATTAAGCCTTTCTTTATCACCCAACACAATATATTTCCCCTAGTTAGCCCCTTTGAGACTTTTTAGCCTATTTTTCTTCTATATTAAACCGTAAGCCTTCTCCGATTTGAACCCTATGTTAGAAAGAATTACCTTAAGTTCACGTTGTGATGCACCTTATTTGGTCGGCACCAGTCAGAAACGAAGTTTGAGTATAAATAAATAATGCATTAAGAAGTATTTTCTTTAATGAGAACAGTTAGTGAAAGGCGTGTATATATATATATATTTAAAAAAAAGGCAAAAAAAAAAAAAAAAAGAAAAGAAAACAGAAAAAGGCCCCAAAAAGAAATTAAAAAATTAAAAAAATTTTTAAAAAAAATCATCTTGATGAAGTATTATTGATATGATTATGTTATTGAAGTTTTGGGTAGTGAATAAAGTAAGGGTTTCATTGTTTATGCCGAACTGTTTTTCACGTGCTAGCATCGTGTTCTTATTGTATTCTTTTCTGACATATTCTAGCCTTCGCATATCTTTTTTCTACCGTAACCATCAACCCTGTTACAACCTTTATAAAAAAGTCCCTTTGATTCTTGATGTTAGATTTGAGTATCTTAAGCAAGGGAGATTTGATTTTCATTCAAGCCTATAGGATAATCTCTTGTCGCACTACTTGAGTGTTAGCTGATTATACCACTTATTTTCTTTCAGAGAGTATGTGCGCATACACTTTATCCTGTGAGGTTGACTTTGCTTGATATGTTGAATTTCCGATTGATTTGGTTGAGTTAGATTTTCTTGTCATATTGAATCGCATGCGATTTCTTTTAGCTTGTTTCGAATTTATTCTCGAAGGCAAGCATGATCTAGGTGTGGGGAGATTTGATGGCCATAAATCGCATGCGTTAAATATTAATAATATTTGCGATATTTGGTTGATTTTGATTATATTCTACCTGATTTAGGTATATATTATTTATTTATGATTTGCAGGAGAAAAATAATAAAAATGATAGAATTAGATGGAAAAGAGAAAAAAAAAAAAAAGGCCCAAATCCCAATTGTTACAATTATGGCAAATATAAAGGAAAGAAAGAAGGGGGCGCGACTTATGCCACTTGTCGAGGAGAACACCGTGCAGAAGAGTCCCAGGGAGAAACCGTGCAAGGGCAAGAAGGAAAAAAATTCTTCCAAGAAGATTTCGAGTTCTACCATTACCAACATCATTCTCAGGAGATGTTTCTCTTTGCTTCATTTGTTCTTCCTCCTATGATTAGCGAGTAGTTTGTTTTTCTAGTCTAGGTATGAAAAACAACTTGGTATGAATTTTGGATATTAGACTTGTTTTGATTTATGATATTTCTTTGGTTCCTAAGTATTTCTGTGGTTTCTGATTTCTTTGAGTTATAATCTTTTATTTGGTTGGGTATTGTGGCCAGGTATTTAAATTGGATTAAAGATTAATTGCTAAACTAAATTAAGCGTCTGTAATTGCGTATTAATTTGGTTCAAGTAGCAACTAGTGGTAGGCACCATTAGGAAATCACAGAATCAATTTTAAATAATTTCGCATAGGTAATTGTTAAATTGAATTAGGCTCTTCTACTTCACAAGGCGGTTAGGCTAGTAAATTCTTTGTGGCGTCACTAGGGTTCTAGTCTAACTAGGGAAGCAGTTGACGGGCGTACCTAGACTGTCGAGAAATTAAGAAAGAGTTGGTTATTAGGTGCATGTCGGTAACTATAACTAATTTATTTAGAAACCAATAAAATTAATTATTTATCGATGATCAAATCTACTACCCAAGTTGTCAATTTCATTCATAGACTGGAAACTTATTTTTATTAAATTTATCTTTTAGTCGTAGATTTTTTAGTTTGTTATTATTTTTATTTCCTATTTCAAAAATCCCCCCTTTTATTATATTCATAAATTAAACAATCGAAAATAAAAAATTTTAATTCCCTGAGGAGACGACCCTACTTCATCTATACTATGTTACTTTTATTGTAAAAATAAGTTTATTTTATATAAATTTTGCATCGTGTGACGAACGCCTGTCAAAAGCACCGATAAACACGTTCAATGTACACCTCAATGAAAAATACTTACTTATAGTGTGGGTAGTCCTAATATGTCTCGTATATAATATTTACTACTCATATCTTGTAACACATTTGTTTGTTTCTAATACATTTGTTTGTTGTGGATATTTTTCATAGTTTACAAAATACTGACATAGACAAAACCAATAAAGAATATGGGAACCAAGACATATCTCATAAGTTATCCACTAACGTATCAATATCTCTTACCATGATTCACAATATGATATGTTATGTCAAAATCTATCTTATATCACATACTTATCCATCATTAAATAAATGAACAAATGATCTCAATGATTGTTTCAGTAGTTTTGATTAATAAACATCAATATTCGATAAAATAGCAATGATCTATTCAAACCATAACCGTCTCATCTAGCCATAATCAATAAAATATTTTCCCTAATTACTTAAATACCATGTTAATAACATTGATATCCATATAGCAATATAAATACTTCTATATGCAAATAAAGCCTGTTTATAAAATAAGTATAC